CAAAATAGCAAAGAAGGATCCTCCCTAGGGCCAATGATCTCCCCAGCCATGGACTTTTGACTATGTTTATAGCATCAGGCATGAGCTCTATCCTGGGGAGTAGAACTCAAATTCAATCATACAACAGTTTGTTATTCCCATAACATTCATACCACTATTGCACCAGTGGGCACATTTATCTGGCAGATAAGTATTATAGCTTGTAGGGTCCAGAACTAGGTAAGATCAATGATGCCTCTTCTCTTCCAGTAGCCAGCATAGAAGTAGTTTCCTAGCTAATTTGATAACGTTTTCCCTGTATTTTGCAGCCAAAGTGTATGGTGTTTTCATTGGGTCTTATCATCCAGTTATGATGGGAAACTGAGAGCAATAGAATATGCTTATTTTTGGAGACTGATGGGGCCTTCTTGACCAAAAAACTTATAGATCCCACTGAGATTTTTATGTAATGTCTTCTGGGAGCAGCATTGTCTATACATGCAGGATACCTCTGTTCAAGATTATTTAAAACTATTATCTTACGAATATGGAGCAGGTCTCCATAAAGATTTTTCATACATCCTTAGTTTTGGTTAATCTGCTCCCTAACTCTCCTTACTCCTGTCCTCCAAAATCATTAACTCTTAAACTTGTTTTAAAATTTGGGAACTTAAAATAGATCTGATGCTTAGATTCTAACCTCATATATTATAATTTAATTGTTCTTGTATGGAGCCTAGGATTTTAGGATTAAAAAACTTTCTTTGGATTCTATGGTACACCAAAAGTTAATGAAAACTCTATAAGGTTAATATCCCCACAATTATTTCTAACATCAGGAAAAACAGGAAACCTTTACCTCAGAGTAAGAAGAAGGGACACACACATTGTTACACAGCATATGTACTACAGTTTGCCTATAAAAGCTATCTAGGAAAGATAAGGAAGTATTGTCCTTTCCTGTTCCAAATTCCCAGGTAGCACAGGTGAATGTTATCTTCTGTGTACACCATCTTTATTTAACAGACATTCCTTTGAGTGTTAAAAACCGTTCATAAGAAAAATAGCACATTCAAGTTGCATTTCTATAATCTGGGCTTATTTTTAAGTGTCAAGATGGAAACAGGATGTCTTATGCAATGTCCTTTTCATAAAACGGACTTGGGCTTTAAATGGCTTTCTTCGATATTCATTTATAAAATATTCAGTAAATAGTCAGCCCCATGCCAGGAACTGCTGAGTGTGCATCCCAGAGCTAAGTAAGTGCTGCCCTCTGGGATGTGGATGTCAGTGGGGATGTCCATATAGAGAACCAAGAGATGCCATGAAGAGTGACATCACTGAGGAGTTGGAAGACTCCCCTCAGGAGGAAACATAGAAACAGGAAAGAGAGTGATGAAAAGGAAAAGGTGAAGTAAGCTTTCCGTTTGGATGAAGAAATCAGACACCTGGTAACAGGGAAAATATGGAAGACTGGAGGAACAGGAAGGAATTAAATGTGACTCAAGCAAAGGCAGCAGCAGGAGGGGCAGGCATAAAGGAGGGATACGTGTGGCTCCTTAATTAAACACTACATCCGCTGGCTGTGAGGTGGTGGCCATGCACTCAGAGGCTTGGACTCTCTGTGTTATGGGGAGCATAGGTCTAATGATGTCTGTCTCCTAAGGCTGATTTGAGGATGGAATGAATGAGTGTATGAAAAATGCCAAACAACTAAGAGCTTGATAAATGACTGCCACTAGTCGCTCAATTGTTAATGATGTCTGGAGATGGGCTTGTAGGGAGTGAGACTGCCAAGGATGTGAGCTGGGAAGGGTCTTGAATAATGTAAGTGAGCTGATGGTGCTTGGCATGAGATACTAGAGGAATGGCCAGATGCTGACTGAGTAGGAAATAAGAAGAGACTTCCAGGAAGAAGACAATAGCTAAGTGCAGTCAGTTTGACCATACTGAGATCTTCCTCAGTAGGAATCCAGGGGAAGGAACAGATTTAATTTTAGCACATTACCAAGGCCAACGAGGGACTGATCACAGTGTTTTAATAAGGACTGACAAAACTGATTGAACCTTTACAGGGGCAACTTCTTTTTTATTTTTATTTTTTCTTAATTTATTTTAAATTTTTATTCATTTTACATACCAACCACAGTTTCCCCTCCTTTACCTCCTCCTGCTTCACCCCTCACCCCCAATCCACTCCTCAGAGAGGGTAAGGCCTCCCATTGGGAGTCAACTAAGCCTGGTATATCCTGTTCAGGCAGGACCAAGTCCTTCCTCCCTGCATCAAGGCTAAGCAAGGCATCCCAACACAGGGAATGGGCTCCGAAATGTCAGTTCATGCACCAGGGATAGATCCCAGTCCTGCTACCAGTGTTCCCACAAACAGACCAAGCCACACAACTGTCACCCACATGCAGAGGGCCTAGGCTGATCCCACGCAAGCTCCCCAGCTATCAGTTCATAGTCCATGAGCTCCCAATAGCTTGGGTCAGTTGCTTCTGTGGGTTTCCCCATCATGGTCTTTACCCTCCTCCCTTGTTCATATCGTACCTCCTCCCTCTATCTAACTATACTCCAGGATCTCAGCCCAAGTGTGACTTGGTTATGGATCTCAGCATCTCCTTTCAACAGTTACTGGATGAAGGTTCTGTGAAGACAATTAGGGTGGTCACTAACCTGATTAAAGGGGAAAGGCCTGTTCAGACACCCTCTCCACTATTGCTGGGTGTCTTAGCTGGGGTCATCCTTGTGGATTCCTGGGAATTTCCCTAGCACCAGGTTTCTCCCTAACCCCATAATGGCTCCCTATATCAAGATGTCTCTTTCATTGCTCTCCTTCTCTGTCCTCCCCCAACTTGCCCATCCCATTCCCTCATGTTCTCATCACTCATCCATTTCCCTCTTTCCCCCTAAGCCCCAGTTTACCTAGGAGATCTTCTGTACTTCCTCTTCCTAAAGTGATCTATGCATGTCCCTCTTAGGGTCCTCCTTGTTATCTTGCTTCTCTGGGGTTTTAGATTTTAATCTGGTTATCCTTTGCTTTACATCTAATATCCACTTATGAGTAAGTAATACCATATTTGTATTTCTGGGTCTGGGTTACCTCACTCAGGATCATTTTTTTCTAGTTCCATTCATTTGCCTGAAAATTTCATGATCAGGGAAATGCAACTCTAAGCAACTCTGAGATACTTACTGTCTTGCACCTGTCAGAATGGCTAAGAGCAAAAACACTGATGACAGCTTCTGTTGGAGAGGATGCGGAGAAAGGGGAACACCCCTCCAATGCTGGAGGCAGTGCAAACTTGTACAGCCACTTTGGAAATCAGTATGGCAGAAAACTGACAATCAATCTACATCAATACCTAGCAATAACATTATTGGGCACATATCTGAAGAATGGTCAATCATGCCCCCAAGGACACTTGCTCAACTATGTTCATAGCAGCATTATTGGTAATAGTCAGAACTTGGAAACAACCTAGATGCCCTTCCACCAAAGAATGGATAAAGAAAATGTGGTACATTTACACAGTAAAAATCAATGACATATAAGGGCAACTTCTACAGCCACTTCCAGGAAGTGAGATGCCATAGTGGCAGTCACCCCTTCAATAATCTGGCAACCAGGAGTTTGGGCCCTCTGGAACCATAGCACTGCTGTCATGAACAGGAAACCAACACAATCAGGGATCTTCTCCCCTGCTGTGAACAACATTGCATTACCAGAATGGATGCTTGCTCAGCTCTCTCCAACCTCTCCAGGACGTAGTCTGCTAGAAACTGAACACTGGGACTTCTGCCAATACAGACATAGAGTAAAACCAAGTGCCTCTTCAGAGATGATTGAGTGGACAACATGCCCAAGTCCCTGTCTCAGCATAGCACTGGATTCCTAGGTACTCTGGAGTATGGGAAGTATATTTTAGCTTTGAAACATCTAGATTGCTTACTAAGATAGTGGTTTACAAAATATATTGTGTGACTAAGAAGAATATCATACAGTCAAGATGATAATTACCATGTTTTTATCTTGATCCTTGCTGGCAATGTGAGATAATCCTTCTGGGTTTGAAAGATGCAATTCTGGACGAACCACTGTACGGACTGGTGTATGCCAGCCTTCATTATAAACTCTCAGGAGGGAACCATGGGTAGAATCCAATGGCTACTGAAGGCATGTGGCTGGATTTAAAGATAAAAGCAGGAATTTGAAAAAAGTTATCACCCAAAGACACAAAAGTGGATTATCATCCAATGAGATACTGGGGAAAGCTTAAAAAAAAAGTGACCTGTACCAAACACAAAGACTCTAAACATTTGATCTTGGGAGAAGATCTTCTGGGACATATCTTTGTCCTTATGCATGCTGGCACTTTTCAATTTTTCTCCAGAAAAAGAACCTAATCCAGAAAAGAGCCAGGCTACCTTGGAAAGACAAACACGCTCACCAGGATAGGTCATACTCTGGCACCTCTAATGGGCTTGCTGTACACTGGTGCTCAGTACAGGAGTGCTGAATGCCTGCACAGAGGAGGGAAGTTCTCACGAGACAGAAAGAGCACTTTCAGATTTGCTGGAATAAGGCCCAGTTCTCAAAGGCGGTCATAAGGCGTTTATGTCCTCATAGCCAAGGTGTACCAGCAGCTATGGGGAACTGCCATTTTCCTTTGTACAGAAAAATGACAGTGAGAGGTGGGAGCTACACACACACACACACACACACACACACACATGGGTATTCACATACACATACACTCATGCATATTCACACATGCACTCATACACATTCATATACACACACTCACACACACAAAAGCGTATTGCAGTCATGTGTGAAGTAAGTAGTGAAAATTTGGAAGCGAAATACATGTTTTCCTTATGAGAATTGGCAAAGATATATTGTAAACATGAGATAGATATCTCATGTTTAAGTGATTGAGATAGATTTACATGTGTCAGTCAGGGTAAACCTCAAAACTTTACTGATACTTGAAAAAATACAAATCACAAAATGTTATATAAAGTACATTTTATTAAAAAATTTAAAGCACACAGAATTATACTATGTATCCTTAGAAGACAAATGTAAATTTATATAAATGAAAGGCAGGCACAGACTTCCAGACAGCAGTTATGATTCCATGGAAAGAGAGTGGGGGATGGGAGAGTAGGGCTCAACTCTATCTGCATTTTTATTTTAGAAGAAACAGAAGTAAATATGGCAAAATATTAATAATTATTAAATAAGCTGATGAAGCCTAGGAGAAATATTATTTATACTTCTCTTCTTAATTAAAAATAAATATAAGTATATATAAACTCTGCAATTCCCAAAGCAATAATCAGGCTTCCTCCCCTGAGCCAGACTAAGCAGATGACATGTAAAACATGACTGGAAAAATGTACACACAAACATATGTGTGTATATGAGCATACATGTACACTTGCATGTACACCAATATATGTGCATAGGTTCAAATTAAATGACAAGCTTTATTATCTCAATCAAAAATAACATTGGCTTGATCACAAACATCTTTGGTTCTGGGGGTCAATACTTAAACAGCTCTAGCCCTTTTCTATGACTCAGCCAGGAACCAAATATAGAGAAGATGGAGATGGCTGGGGTCTAGAGAGAAGGGCAGAGGATTCCCTGGATGCTGGGGGCCACTTCAGTGTGGGGCTGGGAAGACATGACCTGAAGGTTTTCACAAGGCTACAGGAGACCCAGTAAAGTGTGGTGAGAACGCAGGCAGGCAGGCGTCCTCCTCGAGGACTGGATAAGGGTAGGTGTCCCCCTTACCTTCTACACTGTGGGAACTCCACCAGGCTGACTGACCTCACTACAGGGGTGACCTGGCCGGCTTCTTTGTCTTTTTAATTGGAGAGTTCATCTGTTTCGGGATAATCAATGATATTTTGCTGAATGTGGTTAATCAAACTCTCAGCAAATTCTATCTCAGTATTTTGTCCATTCACCTTTTCTGGACGCTGAATGATTCTCCAAGCCATTTTTTATGTGGCTGGGGGTTCTGAAAAGGTATCAGGTCACGCAGCTTGCAGAGGACACTTGTGGGCACTAGAGAGGGGGTGGAAACAGTTTCTGACTGTAGAGAAACACACATGACTTCTCTCTCTCTCTCTCTCTCTCTCTCTCTCTCTCAACATCAGGGATACTTTTGTTTTTGCACACTAAAAGTGGAACATTTCATCAATTTATGCATGGTCATCTTTACGAATGATCTTCACTAAGTTCTGCAGGGTACTGGTGTGTGTGTGTGTGTGTGTGTGTGTGTGTGTGTGTGTGTGTGTGTGTGTGTGTGCTCTTGCATGCATACTGTGGGTGGAGTATAAGAGGAGCACATGAGTGCATAGTGTGGAAACTCACTAAATTTTTACTAAATAAGTATATATCTTAGGTAGCTTCATTATAAATGGCATGCTTGCTTACATATGTGTGGTGGTGATTAATCTTTGTCAAGTTGACAGGGTTAGGAGACACACCTCTGACTGTTTCTGTGAGAGTGTCTCTAGAGATTCAGCTAAGGATTGGAGTCCCATCTTGAATGTGGGCAGTGCTATCCTGTAGAATCCCAGACTGAATAATGGGGAAAAGGAGGGCATAAGATGGGCATCAGCATGCATGTCTCTCTGTTTCTTGACTGTGGACCCAGTGTGACCAGTGCCCTCATATCCCTTTTGCTGTGCCTCCTGGCTGAGGTGGGATGTATCCTTTCTTAAAGTGTTTGCCAAAATAAATATTTCTCTTTAATCATGTCTATCAGGGACTCTGTCACATCAGTGAAAAATGTAATTATTACAGATGTACCAGAAAGTCCCAAGGGGGATAGTTACCCTCAAAATTATCGTAATTTAGTTTTAAACTCCCTGGATTCCTATTTACATTCCAGTTGTCTATTATTTATTTTCATTTTGCTACATTTCACTCTTTTAAAAAATGAAATGCCCTCCTGTCTTTGGTGAATGACTTTCTGAGCACAGAGATTGCAATTAGGAACAGATCAAATAATAATGCAAAGATCATGTACCTCTCTCTACCCAGAGAATAGTCTATGAAAAATGAAAATGGAGTCTTTCTTGACTCAGCATCTGAGGATAGCATTTGCTTAGTTCCCATGTAGGTTACAGGTGCCTTTTCTACAATGCTCTAGTTGATTTACCCTAAGATTCACTTGCCCCACATTTTAGTACAATACAAATACTGCAGGTCCCCTTATTCTCCAGCCTTGTGTTCACAAAACCTGATTCTATTTGACCATGTCCCATAACTTGACCTGTACAATGCAACTCCTCTTCCAATACCTATAGAGAAGGCCAAAGAGGGGTTGATGTAGCCACTCTTCTTTGTCGTTTTTGTTTTCCTGTTTTCCACTCACACATCAAAAGAACCAAGTTTTCTTCTTAACTTTTTAAATCTTTTCTAGCCTTTCTCTGGAAAACGTTATTCTTCTCTTTGCCTTCAGAGAAAGTTGTCTTATTCCATTCTTCCATCCAACACTGGCAGGAGTTGCTTTCCTCACTGAAGCACCCCTCCTAGGGCTCACACATCAATTCAAATGATTTACCAAACTTGATCTCCCTCAATGGTGTAGAAATCTCAAGCTTGATGAGGCCAGGGGAACTGAATAGCCTCTCAGGTCAGGAGAGGTTCTTGATTCTTGTTGCCCAAAAGACCTCCCCCTTTTCAGGATCCTTGTTGTCTGTCAACAACTTTTTTCTGGGATTTAGAAACCACACGAAGAATGGACTGAGAGGTGTTTGTAGCAGGGAATTCTACGTGTACATCCCAGGAGATGGCAGCAGCTACTCCCTAGGTAAGGAGCAGCATCACCTTGGGCATTACAAGCTGGTGGAGTGTCATTCCCCAAGGCAGCATGGAAGTCCCTATGACCTGCTGAGATGAGAAGCAAACAGGCCTTCCTGGTGGTATTAGTTTCATCATGATACTGGGGCCTTCCTCTGCTTGGGACCTTCCAGAATTCAATCTAGAATCTCAGGTCACAAATGTCAACTTCTGAGATGAAGGAAACATTGGGGAGACACAAATCCCACCTCCGACTCTTTCAGATTCAGACCCTGATTTCCAGGGGAGGAAAAAATGTCTCCAGGTCAAACAGAGAATTAGTGGTTAGACTGGGGCAACCCAACCCCTTCTGGTGCCCATGTGTGTCTCTGTCCACATACTACATTAATTCCTTGCTATCCACCTGAAAGAGACTTCCCTTTTCTAAGCCCTGGGGCAGGATCGTTCCAAAGGACAGAGGGGGAGTACACTAATTCATACACTGAGTTTCAGTTGTCCTAACATTTTCCTTTTGCCCATATTTGGAAGTAATGTGTGGTAGACAGCATTTTTTCTACCTAAAGGCTGAGAGCGACTATTCAGTCTGAACTACTATATAAGAAGATGGACAGCACATTTTCAAGAGGAAAAGTGTTTGTATCCACATACTGGAAATTGTCCACCATGACGGATATGGTAGAGTTGACCTGTAAGTAATGCAGCAAGAACTGAGAGAGATTCTGGTAGATGTTCTTGGTTTGAATTCCAGACTTGCACACTGTTACAAGTGCCTGCTTCTTGACCTCGGTATTGATGAGGAGCCTCAACGACAGGTCCACAGAATGATTTGAACACTGAACGAAAAATTGCAGTTGACAAATGATGAAGTACCAGCCCGGGAAATGGACTACCAGGTTCCCATCCTGGTATCCGACTCCGTGGATGACGCCGTCTGGGTTCCATGACAGTTTGGTATTATTGAGATGTTTTGACACTGGAAATGTAGAAGCAGAATTATTGCTCACATGTTAGGTACAGGTTGGAAAACTGTTTTTCAAGGTTCCCATTCAGTGGCCCTGTTTTCCAGAATACTGCCCACTGTCCCAAACATTTAAACATCTTCTGAAGTACTCTTTCTAGGATATTCCTTCATAGCTCATTGATTCTACTTAGGAAGGCACAGGAAGAAAACCATCTGTCTTTCTTTTGTTTAATGCTCAGAGCTAGAGGGTTGGATTACATACAATAAGGCACTGGAAAATGAAAGAACTTGCAGGAGGGTTTTCTAATGCGAGACAGTGCCTATAGATGGTTTTCTGTTCTTATTATTTACTACACATCATATAATTATTACTATTTCATTTTCTCATTTTCTTCAGTGTTTATGTCTATATGTGTTTGTTTTGGATGAATGAATGTGTGCATGTGCAGTGTGTATTTATCCCAGAGGACAAACTTGGGTATCAGTTTACACACCATATACCTTGTTTCTAGGTTTTTTTCCTGAAGGTTTGGTTTTATTTATGTGTGTGTGTATACAAGTGTATCCAGTGTGTGTGTGTGTGTGTGTGTGTGTGTGTGTGTGTGTGTGTGTGTGTGTGTGTTCATGCACGTATGCTTATGGAGGCCAAAAGAGGGCATACCCTGGAGATGGAACTCAGAACAGGCAGTTTTGAGACACCTGATGTGAATGCTGGGTCTTCTGGAAGAGTAAATGTGCTCTTAACTGCCAAGCCATAACTCTAGCCCCTTAATTCATGTTTTTGAGATAGAGACTTTCACTGACCAGAATCATGCCAAGTAGACTAGGCTGGTCAGCCAGTGTGCTCCAGAGATCTTCCTCTCCCTGCCTTAGCGGCACTGTATTGCAAGCATGAGGAACCATGCTTGGCTTTTAACAGGTAGGTTCCAGTACTCCAGTTTAGATCCTCAAGCTTACAAGTCAATCGTTTTACCTCCCGGGCCATTTTCCTGGCTATTTTCTCTTTTAGACCATACCTACCTGGACTGTATTTTGCAACAAGGCCTATGCTATTTGTCATGAATGAGCATTTAGTGTTAACTTCTGGTTTGATAGGTATTGCAGATGGTGTCAGAGCTGTGACATTCAATACCATTCTCTTTCAGTATTGAGTTGTTCAGGAGACTCTTGGCTAACTTTTGCATTTAAGATGAAATCAAAATATATTATCTGCATGCATGAAAATGTCAACAACGAAGCCCATTATTGTAAACAATTGACATATGCTAATAAAAATTAAGATACACCCTTTAGTTTGGTCTGAAGTTTTGAATGTCTGCTTTCCTTAAAGGGCAGTCAAGCATCCTTGCAAGGGCCTCTCACACGCACAGTGAGACAGTGAGGCACCTGTAGGGCGAGCCCACAATACTGTCCATGTGGGACAGGTGAGGGTATAAAAGGAAAGGAAAAGCAAAAGCTCTCTCTCTTGGAAGCTAGCCACATTCCCAGAGCTCCTATCCCTCTGTTTATCTTGTAAGTGTACTTAATAAATATCTTAGACCTCCTTTACAAGTAGCATTATTCCCATCGTCAGCCACCCCTACAGGCACCTGCTATCCAGGACTGTTAGAAAGGCAGAGAATTAACAGAGTCTCTAAGATGAAATGTGTGTGTGAAAGCCAATTCTCTGAGTCCTAACAAAAGAAAATTAGCACTGACTGGTAAAGGTGCTTCCAGAACCCTGACACTGGCCTGCTGGCTTTAATTGATTCAATGCTGTCTCTACAAACCTTTTTTGCAATTCAATTGAAAGGCATGAACTAATCTAACTGCAAAATGGGACTTTTGGAAATAAGCAAAAGGGCTATTCAGAAAATCTTGGCTATCTCTTCCTTAGCTCATTCTTTCGTGCTCTGAGAGCCTCTTACTGTTTCATTTACAAGGGGCTCTTACCTAAAGCACACTGCCATATGCAAACTGGCCCTGAGCCAAGGAGCTCATTAAGCTGCCAATCTGGGGACCAGGCAATTTTGCAGTTCCTCTGTGACTAACTTGGCAGAGGTGGAGATGGAGGCCGTTTGTTTTTGCATTAGGCAAATTTCAGACTTGGTCCAGATGAGTGGGTTGGTGCCCACCAACGGGGGTGGTTGAAGGACAGAGAGGTGATGGAAGTGAGGGACGAAACTGTCCTCAAAGACCGGTCAGGAAACTGGAAGAAGTGAATGCAGGGACCCCCCACCTGCTGAGGGAGCTTTTGAACACCTGCCCATCTGTCTCTGGTCACAGTCATTCCCAACAGGGCCCTTAACACAGCTTCATCCAAGCTCACGGCTTATTTATTTATTTAATTGTGCCACTTCTAAACCCACAGCTAAACTTTTCCTTTTTCAGCTGATGGGCTGAAGAAAGAATTGCCTTGCAGCTTTGTAGAGAAGTACTCTCATCTTCTTCCTCTAAGACATTCAGATTTAATTTATGAAAAGTATGATGTCAGCTAAGAACACATGTGCAGATCACGCTCAGCCAGCGGACTCTAACTGGGTCTTCTGGATTGGATATTGGCCCAGGACATGGCCTTCACGGGTTAGATTTTTCTGGCTCTGGTTACTGACCTTGGAGGTAGGCCCATGACTTCTTGAATGGAGTCCTTTTCAAGGTACATAAGAGATCCTCTGAACAATTTCCTAAAAACAAGACCAGGTATGAGTTCTCTTGCGCTCCTCTGGGGAATGCAGAAAACCAGATCTTTCTCTGTGACCCTCTGTTTCTGTTTCTGTTTCTGTCTGTGGGGTCAAATTTAAACACCACCACCACCACCACCATCACCACCCCTAAACTATTGTTTTCACTTTACTGGTAAAGGGCTTAGGATGTTCACATTTCTGAAGTTTATTTTTAACTGGTACTGTTATAGAAGACTGTAGAAGTTGAACAAATATGATCTGAGTTCCCCCAGTGTACTGGGCACCATTCTGGATAGTCATCATGAAAAGTGTTATTAAGTACCTCTATTAGGTCAAGGGATACTGGAAATCTCATGTCCTTCAGCCCAAACACTGGTCTCCCCAACAGCAACATTGATGGAGTTATTGCTACCCAGCATGTGGCATGAATACTAGACTATGTGCTTCCTGCTTTACCTGTATTAGCTAATCTAGTTCTCAGTCTAATTCAGGATCAGCTTTTATGAAAACACCCAAGGACATACTCAAGTCTAAGTAACCATGTGGAAATGTGAAGATTCCCTACATCTGTCTCATTCCAGAGGATGGAATTCCTTCTTTAGGCCACCCTGCAACAAAGCATTAATGGCATCTTAACAGGAAGCTTCCCATCTGGATCTCCTTTAGTAGAGACAAACACAGCATTTGTGCCATTATAGCACTCGAGAAACAAAAATATTTTTAGTATTTTCACGAAGGATGGCCGCTCTTTTGTAGCATATGAGCCATTTTGTATGCTAATGACCAAATTGTACATTATCTGTAATGACTCATGAATTCAATTTATTTGGAGGAAATCTCTTCTCTTCCTTGGGCTTTGGCTCCCCTGTCTGTAAACTGGAAGCCCTTCAATGTGATGTTGATGCCTTTTTGATGATGTCACCAGATATGACCACTCAAGCCATCTAGTAGAGACTAACAGGTGTAAGCTGTGTGTGAGGGCTTGTGTCCTGCCGTGCTTACTTACTATCTCTCTGAATATTGTGAGAACCATACTATCCCATTGCTTTCTTTTCCCAGATTTGAGAAGGTCCTTGGATCCTGAGAGTGATTCAAAGTTGAGTGAAGAGTTCCCTCTGCTGTCTGAGTAAGTTCACTACTAGAGGAACCCTAGCAGAAGTGAGGGCAATAGTCATCCCTAGCTGCTCTTGACCTGAAAAGAGCTTCTGGGCCATCAAGGGCTGAAGGCCAGCTCCCGGTCTCTAGATATTATCCCATGCTCATTGCCTAAGCAGTGCTCCTGAGAGGCCTTCTGCTGCCCTGCATATACTCATGGAGTGTTTACAATCAGAACCCTGATCCTAAAGTGTGATATTTTAATGGACTGTGACTACATTAGATGCCCTGTTGTTCAGTGTCATCTTTGAGGTTATAGAACATCAACCAGAAAAAAAAAAACAGAGAGATGTAAATTTGGCTCTCTTTGCTGGCAATCATTCTCTGATTTCAGTTACCTACAGCTCCTATAGGTGGTATTCATGACTTCATGGGTTCTAACCCCACCTGATCTCTCTAGTCTCAGCTCATTCCACCTCTCATCCCCTTTTACTCTATGTCTTTATAGTAATCAATGTCACCATCACTACATAACAGATGCTACAGCCATGATTTCATTTCGCTTTCACAACCGCCCTGTGAGAGACAGTTTACAGTTATTTATATCATGTCTGTAGGAAACCCTAGACTTTAAAAGGTTAACTGGTTTGGTCTCAGACACACAGCTAGTTGCTGGTGAGGTGGAGATTAAAATTCAGCCAGTGAGACTCTAATGCCCAAACAGATTTTTTCCCACCTACTAGAGTTTTGAAGCTTGCAGTTCCTCTAAACAACCACACGATCTGCTTCTACCTGAACACCTCCCAGGAACCCCAGGAAACCCTTCCTCCATCAAGCCAGTTGTCCTTTGAAACACACCCTGGCAGAGACTGCTGTTTAGTCTTTTCTACTGATCAGCCATGAAGATGCTTCATAAGCATTTGCTGAATGGAGTCATCTGGTCCATGTCTCTTATTTCCTTCATTAGGGGCTTACTCAGTACCTACAGCACCAGTATAGTGAGTAGGGATGCTTACTCCCCCACTCCCTGACCCCAGAAGAAAATTGGCCTCATTTTCACAGATTCTGCCAAAGTTAGTTGGGAAAGTAGGACTCATGCCCTTGACTAGAGCCAGGATATCACATAAAATACAGACTCTATCTCTCTTGTCCAAAGGCCCCTTTGCATCAGGTGACTTGTGGTAACATCTGCAAGAGCTGAGCATCTACAAACAGATGGTGGCAGAGTACAAGCCTAGGCTTGCCTTTCACACATGAGGGCTTTTTTTCTGCTGTTTTTCCCCTTTGGTCTTCATGTGTATAGTGGGGTAACCTCAGTTGTAATTCTGAGAAACCCAACGATGGAAAAAAGCAATCTTATTTTGAAGCATTTGCATTTCCTGAAGTCAAATGGAAGACATATTTTAGTTTTTCTTAAAGAATCTATTGGATGGTTTCATGCTAAAGCAGAAATGTGGACTTCTCCTTCTAAGAATGGCGCTGCTGGAGCTGGTTCAATGAGGGGGCTGTTTATTGAAAGAGTAGCACTGTTGAGTTTGAAGAAAACCCCAGAGGCAACATCTGTGTTCTTTCACATCTGGATATGTTGTCAGAGAAGAAGAATAACAGATGCTTGGTGGGGCCCAAACATCAAGAATCTCGGTGGTTTCTGAAGTATTAAAAAGTTCTCAGCCAAAGGCTAACACCATGACCTCCGTTCTCCCACATGGTGAATGGTGATGGCAAGACCTACACCAAAGACACCCAAGTTATAACCCAAGTCACAGGGATGGAAGCTTGAATATTTGGCCAGTCAGTGCTGATCAAGGAGTGGGTATGCTGCTGTGAAAGTCACAGGGTTCTTGTTATGACCTAGACAATATAGTGTGGGGTACAAACCATGTAGCTCATCATGAGACCATCAGCTTGTAAATCTATAAGACTTTGTATTGTGACTATGAAGACTTCTAGAGGGGACTCCATGCAGTAGCAACCTTGCAATGGCCCTAGAGCTTTGATTATTGGGAACCTAGACTGTGAGTTCTATCTCTGATCTCTGTTTTCCCAGTGAATATGAGTCTGGAGGACCTTAGTTTGAGAAATAGAATATGAACTATCTGGAGATGGAGGCTAAATTGATGTGTTGGGTGTTGGGATTCTAGGAGTTTCTCTTTTAGATTTTAGTGTTCCTATCTAAATGGAGAGCACTGTAGACTAAGACGAAGAAGTGTCTTTCTAGATGATTCTAGAATACTGACCTGATGTATATCTGCACTGCCAGTACTGATGCCTGTGTGTGGGGGGGGTGTTGGAAGCTGGGGCCAGGAAGTCAGTACTGGTTCCAACTTTTGCTTTTATGTGTCTGCTGCTCTACCCCAGGTTGGAGACTATGTCTGCACATGTTGAGATTTTTCTGAGACTTGGGGGCAGAAGAGACACTTTTCATCTCAGTAGCAATCTAAGTTATGAGCATCCTGCTTGTACAAGAGCCTCTGTACAAATTTGGCAAGCATACCACTTCCATGCTCCCAGTGTGACCCGCATTGCAAGTTTGTCCTAGGTCACAGAGAAAGCTGGTGACAGAAACAGGACAGGAGTCTAATGCTCCAGATTCTTTGGCAGGTCAGCCTATCTTCAGATCACTGTGGACTCCATAAACACCATTGATCATCACAGCTTTCAGACTCATGGACTTGGTGCTGTGTGTTTTGTTGACAAGCTTTGGCTTTTGGAAGAATGGTGGGCTATTCTTTTGCTTTAGAAAACTGGAGAAAAGGTATGTCAGTGGTATCCCAGTGTCTACTTTCTTAGAAATCAAGGGAGAGAAAGGGTTGGGGATCAAGATTGCTGAAGGTGATTGAAAGGACTATGCATTAGACAGTAAGGATTGTGGCAAACTTAAATCTAGATGCCCCTTCTCCTTCAGATTTTACAATGTTAGACCCAGAGGATCATGTGAATGGAGATTATGGATTTTATTAGTGGGAAGATTGAGCCCAAAGACCCAACAGCAGGTAAAAGAACAGCAGAGCTGGGTTCAGAAGCTTTTCTCACTCCTAGTGCCGCACTCTGTCACTAACTTTTAGTCTTCCCATGGAGCAGTGAATGTTAAACAAAGGAAGAAATGAGTCTGAAGTCGTTTCACACACTGCAATTGAAATCTCAAGACTCAGCTGGAGGGAGGGGCTCGGAAAGCAGCCCCAGAGCCTTCCTGATCCTTCAGAGTGTGGGAGAATTTCAGAAGATAACTTCAAGACTATGTTTGGAACTGGGTTCCAAAAGGTTGGGGCAACTGGGCTTTCTCATCAGGTTAACTCAGGCTCTGCAGAACCTCTCAAGTAAGTACAAGGCAGATGGTGCCTCTCAGAAAGCATGTGGTTTTAGTGAAGGGTTTGGATTCATCATCTCCTCTCCGGGAACTTCAGCTACACTACCAGCAAAGAGAGGACAGTAACAGTCAACACATATGTGTAGCTGATGTGACCCACGTCAAGATTACAGATGTCAAGTAACTGGCCCAACACTTGGCTATCAGAAACAATGAAGCCATGAGGCTCGCCCTTTTCTTGTTGTTTTGTCATGGCTCTGTGACACCACATGGCAGAGAGGACTGGTTAATGAGATGCTCATTAAAATGAAACCCATGGTGTTACCTGTCAGAGTCTGAACACAATTGTTTGAGGCTCTCTGATACTTTTAGGGAAGGATGAAGACTTCTTGGAAATATTTCAACCTTTGAAGAAATAGAGGGGCTTATATTTTAATTTCATCTCCTTTGGACATTGCCCAGGAAAGTCCCAACAGCGTCATCTAGAGGAGTCTGCACTCTCAGCAGCACTGGGGAAGAAAGTGAACCCATTACCTGGTGGGGTCTGGTTGGAGGGGGATAGGGATCAGGTTATTTCACAGGCCTTCAAAATCTAAAC